GTTCACATTGTATTTGACCTGTTTCATCTTTAAAAGTATTTGCCAATGCCAGCTGAATTGTTGAAAAGCTGAGAAGAAATCTGGAAGGCTCGAAAATGGATGAATAATTTGAATATAATGATGAGGAAGGTCTGAGGCTCAGCAGAGCAGAGCACTTGCTGTTCTTGCTGAGGATCTAGGTTCAGTTCCCAGCACCTACATGGTGAACCACAACTGTGTGTATCTCTGGTTTCCAGGGATCCACCACTCTCTCCTGGTCTCCATGAGTACTAAGAATGCATGAGATGACTGTAGGAAAACACTCATTCACACAAAGTAAAATAAATCTTTAAAATGAAGAGACCCTGAGGAAATAGTATAGAACACGATCCTCAACAACTTACATCCTTAGAGTGATTAAAATAGAAATTAATATTTATGGAATTATTTCTAATTTTTATTCTGAGTAGCCTCAAATTGTATCTGAAAATTTTAAATAGATATTTTTAAAATTTGAATTAAAATACATGAGTATATGAAAAACATAAGAAATTCACAAATTCCCAAATTAAAAAAGGACAACAAAACAGGCATATGAGATTTTCAAATATTGATAGGATCATGCAAATACTTGAAAAGATCAATTGAAAATCCTAAGACAGGCAGATAATAGTGATTGAAATTAGAAATTTAATGAATAATTTAATAAAAATTTAGACACAAGTGAACAGATAATTAACAAATTAGAAAATACAGCAGGAAAAATACATGGGTTGAAGCCGAGAGAAAAATGAGAAATAAATAAATATCTGAAGTCAGACATGAAAATAGCTAAAACCAAAATTCTAGATCTGAAATGATAAATTCACTAAATAGTGATATAAAAATGGCAAGCAATAATTAATTAACTTTAAATAACAATATTAATCATCTGATCCAAATATTTAAGAAAGAAATTGATCCCCTTTAATTTGTGTAATGCATCCATAAGTTAACAAATGCCTAACAAAAAACCTCAGAGGAAAAAATGGATGAAGATATGTTGAAAAAAAGGCTGCTGAAAAAACTCACAAATTTTGTACAAAACATCAATTTAGAACCTCAGGAAAATGAACAAATAGCTGTTAGGACAGAAAGAAAATCCTTCCTAGAATATAATTGTCATCACCAACGCAGGAAGCAGAGTGATTCTCAAAGAAACAAAGTCAGAGGGCGGGACTGCTGTCTTCAGGAAAGTAAGTGCTAAGTTAGAATTCTGACTCTAGAGAAAATATCTTTTAAAAAAAATCAAAACCAAATTTATCTATTCGTTGTGTGTGTGGTGTGTTGGCATGCTTGTGCCATGGTACATTACCAAAAACTACAGGACAGCTTAGGAGGACTGCTTCTCTTCTACCATGTAGATCCCAGGGATTGCTCGGGTTCCCAGGACTGGCAGGAAGTATCTTTGTTCAATAAACCAGGGCACTGTCCTAAAACATGTTTCAAAAATATATATATACTGAGGTTTTCATTTTAACTACTGTGAAAGCTCAGGCAGGGGAATGGCAAGTTCAAGGCCTACCTGGGAAACTTAATTGAGACCCTGTATTTTGATTGGTAATACATATTCATAAACATTAAAAAGGGGGTGATAAATAACAGAGTGCTTGCCTAATATGAGCAAGGCCCTAGGAGTAATGTGAGTGAGAGGAAGGGAACATTGGCAGGACTGAAGGATGGTGTCTCATGGCCCTGTGAGTGCTTCAAGGATAGAAAGTCACAAGAGAGTGGCCACTCCTGTAGACAGAGACCTGGCTGATGCCATAATGGGATCACCACCAGTACAATAGATGAGTATGAGCCAGGGTGATTCTGTTTGTGCTTATAGTAGACTAGATAATGAAACCTTTGGGGATTAGACATTGCCATATAGTTAATGGTGATGATACTACAATATTTTCAGGTTCCTCTTCAAAAGTCCAATCTCCTTTTACCCTGCCCTACTGAAAAAGTATACCAGTGAAGTTCTAGCTCTTTAGCTCCATTTAAAATTTTTCTCTACTTACCATTTTTTCATGAACATATGAGCTTAGAATGTATATGAAAGGCAAACAGGAACATGCTAATTTGGTAGCTTAATATTGATCAAAATTTAAAAGTATCTCTACATCCAGTACATTTTTTGAGAATATTTGGTAAAATTCTGCTATGACTTGAAAAAAGCTGGAAAAAACAATTGCTGGTCTAATTTTTTTTTTTGCAGCACAACCTCAATTTTCTATGTTGGAAATTCAGTTTGTAAAACTCAATGTACATCCCCCAGACAGTTAATTACACATTGCTGGAAACGATTTGAGCAGCTGAAATAATTTTGTATCAAGCGCATTTATAATTCCTAGGGGGACAGCTATTCAGCTCATAAAGGCTAAATCCAAGGTGCCACCCCTGGAAAGGTCCCCCATCTGCCTCTCCTTCTCCCAAGCAGAAACACCCATTTTCGAGCCCTTTCTACCACTCCCAGAGGCCCACCCCACCACCTATTCAGGGTTCCACACCTTTGTTTAGCTGCATGGCACGTTTTTTGTTTCTTTATAATTCCTCCTCTTTCAACCAGTAGACTCAGAGAACTTCCATTCATCCATTTCATCCATCTTGAGTAGCCAAGTTGAATACAGACATATTGATCTGACAGAATTTTATTGTTTATCATAAATAACCACATCACCAAATTGAACTATATATAGTCTTGTATAAACTACACTGCTTCCCAGCACAGAAGGAGAGGAAATGGATATACGCTTATTAGTACCAACTGATTGGTAAGGTCATGAATATACATACAGATTAAGTTAGGTGGTGCAGCGATTACCTCTGCCTTCCAGAAAAAGTAAGTCTTGAGCCCAGCTGCTTAATGGGCACTAGGTATTGACTGCTGGTGATGTGCCATGCAGCTAGAGAATGCCAAACGGAACAGAAAGAGCCCTTACCTCTTCTCTTCTCTGATGACTGGCAACCTTGAGTTAACAGCTTGAAGAATGACACAGGTAACTCTTTAAACTGTTAAAACATTGACTTCTTACGTGCCAGTGATAGGCAGCCACTTTCCCAGTGCCCTCTCCACTTCCTTCTGATCCTACCCTCATGTCAGTAATCTCTCTTCAAATGTCAATTCTATAATCTTCAGTCTTCAGAGTTCCTATTTGCTAGGAACTCAAGTTTTAATACAATATATACTAAATATTTTACATTTAATTCCAAGAGATATATTTTGTCATGGGGGGCTCAAAACTCAGAAGAGCAATATTTGGTCAAGTACGAATCAAAGTAAGAGTGAAAATTTCAGACTGGGAAAGAGAATCAATGGGACTGAGGGACTAATGATTCACTGAAAGATTTTTGGCAGTTCTGCATATAAGAACAATTTCATGGCTTTGCTGATAGTCAGGCATGGATAGAGAAGGGGTTTATGGTACCTCTCACTGTCGCAAATTTCAGAAAGAAGGGGAGCCATTGTCTTTAGCTGTAGACCCACTAGTGAGTCCACTTGCAGTCAGTGGCAAGTTCTGATACAATGCTCACACAGATGGCCTGGTTAAACCAAATGCTCACCGAAAACAAAGCTGGGGCACATCATGCCCGTCTGTGCTCTTTGCACTGCCAAACAGTTCGTGGTCCAGGCAAGGAATTGGAGATTGAAACGCACAAAGACTCACAGACAGAGAGAGACACAGGTCACCCCTGAAACAGGAATGCCCCCCTATCATGTTCCAGAGCCACTTATATAGAGATCCTTAACTGATAGCCACTCCCCAGCCAAATGCACCAGAAACCACTCCCCTGCCATCAGAAACTCCTGAGGGTCTCATGCTCAGAGCAACTGCAGGCTGTCTCAGAGTAGAGGAAAACAAGTTGTTTACAAGACATTCAGGATCTGGGGGTTCACAGCTCCCAACACAAAGCAAGTGGTTAGGGTGAGGAGAAAGAACAGATGTGGGAGAATGTGTTGCAAACATATATAAAATGATCACAGAACAACAATTCATCAAATGAACGTAATATAAAAGTTAAATATAATTCTGACCAGCCAAGCATGTAAGAGCTCGATGTTTGCTGAATCAACTCTCAGAAGGCTAGATAAACGCATATTCTCCTATGACTGTTCTACCACAGTGAACTAGAATCTCCATTTGCAAGATGAAATAGAATAAAAAGCAACCTGGTGAACCGTAGAAAGTGGACTCAAGTCTTGCTCTTATCATTGCTAAGCAAGGGTGTTTAATTAAGGTTATTGCCTCCTCTGCAGGGAGTGTGTCCTTGTTTAGACAGGTGACAGACGCTGCCATTTCACTATTAAGCCTGACTTCAGTATTAGAGCGTTAGATGCTGGGAGATCACCTGGGTTAAAAAAAAACCAAACTTTATTAATCTGGATTTGATTATTTTCCATTTCAGTTAGAACTTTCCGCCCAATGTGATAAAATGCTGAACCAATGAACTTATTCATCATTGTGGACAGGCATGGGATTGCTCAGAAGTTTTATATTAAAAAGGGCCAATAAAAAACACTCAGTTTTTTGTCAAGTATTGACAGAACTTTTTTGCCATTACTTTAATTTCTGTCTTGGATAAGAGATAAAACGTTTTTCATTAGTGGATGTTTGGTTAACTGATAATTAAACACCCCAAATGAGATCAGTACAAATCACTGTTTTATTTGACATCACACACAGTTCCTGGGCTTCCTAGTTGGCCGTCACTGTTCTGAGGATACCATCAATTACAATACAATTACTATCCTTATATGCATAATATGTGGTTTCCCCTGTTCTGTCTTAACATTAAAAGACAAATCATCTTCAATGCACATTAATTTTAAAAATATTTTAGCAGCAGGCTTCAAGGAAAGATCTCATCTATAACTATGCACATTTTCCAGTTTAATTCCGTTAATATGCACAGGTAGAATGCTTTCATGTTCTCCAAGGCCTGCATATTTTTCATGATAAACAATATGGAATTAAATACAACACAAAGCCAGCTGTCATTTAATACTGTTTAATATTGAACATTTTTTTTTGTGTGAAATTCCAGACCACCTTAAAGAAATACAGAGGTCTCTTGCTGAGCATCATTGGAGCATCTCTTGGGTAGGATGCTTCTGGTGTCTGCAGCTCCTCCTATGATGGGCCTCCCACGCGGTCACTCATCATTGCTATGGATTGGGAAGCGCTCTGGAGGAAGCACAGATTCCAGTCTCCGCCAGCGCTCTGGAGGCCACAAGATATGTGTGGCATGAGCATGCAGAAGTCCCAGAGAAACCTGAATTCAGGGAAAACACAGAGACGAAACATAGATATCATTTTATACTGACCATTATAAATAGCTTGAAAAGCTCATTTGATTCAGGTCTTTGACGTGTCATGGAAAGACTATGACTGAAAACAGAGAACACTTAGAGTCATTTTCCTCGGGGCTTCACAGCTGTCAGAACCTGAACCTTCACAACAGTCATTTGAGGGAATGATGGTTTTAATTTTCTAGAACAGAAAGCTAAGTTTAGAGAAGTTTAGAAAGTCATATACATACAATGCATTGGAACCTGGCTTCAGTACTGGGCTGACTCTGACATTAACCTCCACCCTCAACAGTCTGTTTACACAGATCAAGGAAACACAAATCCAGTCTATAGTCTCAGACGTCCTCTAGAGCTATTGCCTGAGAGAGACCCTCATAAAACAGTCATAGAGGCACAAATACACATTTATATCTCAAAAGCATTGTTCCATTGCTGGATGAGCAATCAGAGTTCAGCTGTGATTCTGGGTGGAGACTGCTGTCAGGGAAAACGAAGTGGAAGACTAGTAGAGAGAAAACACCAAGATCATGGCTGACTGAAAACAAAACAGCATTTGCAGAGGTGAGCAGAGCTCTGCTGGGAGAAAAGAGACCAAAAAGAAACCATAACAAATATAGATGGGATCAGCTCGAGGGAGAGCAAGAAGCCCTGGGTACTTAGGAACGGTGTCTTTCCTTCTAATCATTCTGAAAATAAGACTTAAAATAAGCACAAAATTGGCTCTACAACACAAAGCCAGTTGTCATTTAAAACTGTTTAATATTGAAATTTTTTTGTGAAATTCCAGACCACCTTAAAGAAATACAGAGGTCTCTTGCTCAGCATCATTGGAGCAAACATCATGTCACCTGTACATTGCTGCAGTAATTCACTCTCACTAATCTCTGCACACACATCAACATATACATTATACTTGTCTGCACATCAGTATATACATTATTCTTGTCTACGCAATATCAACTTATGCATTACACTTGTTTGCATACACATCAACATATACATTAAACTTGTCTGCACACACACCAATGTATACATTATTCTTGTCTGCACACACATCAGCATATACATTATACTTCTCTGTACACGTATCAGTATATACATTATATTTGTTCTCTTTTGAAAGTTACTAATATCCTGTGGCATTTATACCTATATACTTCAAAATGTATCTAAGAACTAAAACCTTTCTGACATAAGCACATTACCTTCACCATACAACAAGTATCTCATATTAATACAGTAATAGAGCTCATATACAGTTCATATTCAACATATTGCAGTTGCCCTAATGGAAGGCTTTTAGAGTCGTTTATTTTCAAAATCTAGTCTCATCAAGGATCTCAGACTACATCTGCTGTTGTGAGATTGCTTCCATGCCACCAATTTACTTTACCCAGGGTTCAAGACACTGACTTGAACCACGGCCTATAGCTCGACTTGCCTGGGTTTTTCACTCATGAAAAGATAAAAAAGGTAAATATGTTGGCAAGAAAAAAAATATATGGTTAATATTGTATTTTTCCAGTTCTGTTTGATTAGGTGGCACGAAATATCACCACTGAAATACAAACTTCAATAGCAGAAAGTGAGGGTGACTCAATATCTCTATCAGTTTACACACATTCTAATTTTAAGATAATGAACAATATATAGAGATATTTAGAAGCAGTTAAAGATCCTGAATGTCAACTTATCTTATTCTTTTATTGCACATCGCTATTCTGTCTTAATTATTTATGCTGGATCCTAAAAAAGTGATTTTTATCTATTTCTTTTTTATTTTAATTGGCAATTTCTTTATGAAGCTATCTCTTTCTCTCTTAACATCAGCTGCTTGTATTTCTTCTGTTTGTCATGTATTGACATCATCTTCTATTACAGTATGTGTGCATGTGTGTGGGTCTAGAGTTAGGCTCTCATTTTGCAGCCCAGGTTAGCCTTTAATTCACTATCTGGCTCAGACTTAGACTGTACTGGTACTCAGAGAAATTCTCCTTCCACAACCTCCTGCAAGGCCTCCTTCTTTTGTTGTTGTTTGTTTTCTTTGAAGTCAAAATGCATTCTTATCTTCTGCTTGTTTGTAGGATGTTCGTTGGCCATCTCAGGCCATCACTGGGCTTCTGTGTGTCCTTTAACGGGTCACTTTTGGTCTTTAACCACTTCTTAGTTTTCAGTAGATAGGGCATTTCGGGCTCACCCTGGACCTCATACATGGTCCATGTGTAATCAGTTATTTCCCGCAGGGCTTTGGTTTCTTTCAGCAAGGAGAGTCAATTATAAGCAACATCTGGTACTAGGTGTGCTGATGGTCTTGGGTGTTGTTTCAGGAAATATATAGATAAATAAGATAACCAGTACCCAAAAGCTGCTCTTCACCTACCACCTTTATATTTTATCTCACTTCTTCTGTAGTAACTGGGTGGTTTCCTGAAACATTTAAATACCCATATATATGATTCTAAAATATATAACAATATTTTGAACATAATTGTGTCATAATTTCTACCTACACTAGAGTAAAAATCGAGTTTTCTTGGCAATCATTTTGGTAGCTGAATAATTACATATTCTGTTGCCAGTGTTTGCAGCCTACAGTTCGGGTGAGTTATACAGAAAGAAGGTTCACTGTGGCTAGTGTTTCTGAAAGCGAGAGGTTGGGGTACACAAATGGTGACAGCCTTTATCCTGTAGGACTGCAGATGGGAAGCAGGGTACACGCATGTGTACACATGTCTGTCTGGTTCCCTCTTTTCTTTGATAAATCTGCTAAGACTTTATCATAGAAGCTCTACTCTAAACCCTTATGTAACGTTGATCACCTCCCAAACGCCCCACCTTCCAACACCTAGCTTCCCATCTTTCTAATACTTTACAGTGGGAGGAAACTTCAGTTTAAATTCCCTGGGCAGACCATTTCTCTCCATAGGAGCTCAAATACATTTTATTGTAAGGATGTTGGCTGTATCCACAGTTGGTTTAAATCTTTCTTTCCCTCCCAAGTGAGTTATGTTTCCAATTTCTACTACGTTCAGTATTAATGTTTGTTTTTAATTCATTTTCATTCAATTTGAGAATGTCAAAAAGTCAAAATTACTTTTTAAATGAGGAAAATGTCTCCTCCTTCTTAATGATGCTCAGATCCTAATCACTAGCTAGAAGTTTACATCAACGAGCCAACAGAATTTAGGCTGCTAATCAGTTGGCCTCAGAATCATGGGAGTAACATGAATTCTCTCATGGATTGGAATGTCATCACAAGAGCACTCAAGTGTGAAAAGTGGGTGGACAGAAACACGTTCTAGAACACCCTAGACAGCCATGGCAACATAGGAGTGGGAAGATGGCTCAACAGGTAAGTGCCTGCCACATAAACATGAGCACCCCAAAATGACTCCCAGCACCCACATGAGAAGGGATCTAGGTGTGAGAGCATGTGCCTGTAATGCCTGCTCTGGGGATGGAGAGACAGGAGGATTCCTGGAGCTCACTGGTCTGCCAGTCTAGCTGAGTGAATCTAGCTGGATGTACAAGGCACAATCTCTAGGAACACTGAGGCCCCATCTAAAAAATAAGGTGGAAAGCAACTAAGACAGTCGGTATCAACATTTAACTCCTATAAGCTCACTCATGTGCATGCACATCCCCATGCATGTGCGCACGCACATACACACACACAAACACACACAACTATGCCAACAGTGTTCCCAGCTAGGAAATACTTCGCTGGATGTGGGTGAAATTTCAATTTCTGCATAGCTTTGCTCAAGTCTACATTCAGCTGAGTTAAAGAACGGCCGTCTCCATTTCCTCCATCATAACCCAGTAGTATCTCACGCACTGAATTGCTTTTCCAAGCTGTTTATCTCTGATCATAAGGGTGATTTGCCAATGTTTTAACTTGGCTGAGCTGTTGCCAATACATTTGCTTGCTTTGTTTGGAGCACAGTTTTAGAGGCAGTGATTTAATTCTGATTTAATACTCCACACTCATTTTACTGAAACTAATCTTGTTTTTTCTTATTCTGAAAATATATTTAAGTTACCATTCTCACTTCCTGAAAGAGTTAATCTTAAAAATTATAAATAGCAGTGGTGAAAATTCTGGGGGATAATATGAATATTATTTAAAATGGTGATATAGGAATGTGAAATTCAAGCTTTCAAAATACTGATATTAATATGTACAGAAAATGCTTAATCACTTGCTGAATTATCTTGCAATGATTATTTAATTGTTTTTATTGGTAAGTGTCTATAGACAAAGGGAGAATACAGTGAATATGGAAATGCCTGAAATTAAAAAGTAGATGAACTTTTTAAAATTAAGAGTTAGGTGTTGGACATAGCTCTGGCCTCTCCACTCGCTCTGTTAGTGTCTTTAGATAAGTAAAACAGAATTCAGATATACAAGGAAATTTATCTTAATAAGCAGCACATGTGATCAGAGAGGTTTGGCAGATCCAAAATCTGCCCAGAGACACCAGCAGAATGGAGAGCCAGGAGAAGGCGGTCAGTGGGGAGGCTGGGACAGCCGATGGGCAGAGACGATACACTGCAAGCTGCTTGCTTCCTCTCCTCTGGCACTGCGCTCACTGTGTAACTGAGTCTACCGTTTGACTCAGGCCTTCGACTGACTTGAGGAGGCCCACCCACATGGAAGACAGACTGTTTCATTGGAAAACAAAAATCATCTAGAATATTATTTGACAACTTATCTGAGCACTGTGACCCAGCCAAAGTGACACATCAAATCAACACCTGGTAAACGTAGTCACACACACACACACACACACACACACACACAGACACACACATACCGGCCCTTTGCTTTGTTCCGCGCTACAGAAGGCAGTCTTTTGCATGATTACATACATGACTCCGGTCTCACAGTGACTCATGAGGTAGATGCTGTCTCTTTTATAAGCAAGGAAACCAATAAGAGTAAAATATTTTGCAGTTAACA